TTGAAATGGCCTAAACTAGTCCATACATTTTACTTCATGTGTATATGTGTGTGCGTGTATATGTATATATATATATGTATTTCTTTACTCGTTATTTCCAAGGGATATTTTTTAGGGACTTTGTGCTTTTTATGCATTATAACTGGAAACTTTTTTACCAGTATTTTAGACTTTGATTCCTAGTAGATTTGTGTGGGCCCAGCAGGTTTATGCACTCTTGCTAGACACACTAAAAGTCAATGGCATGAGCTGCCATGAATGTGGAGAGTAGAAACTACCAAAGGACTTCAGAAAAAGGTCGAAGTTCTGCCACCATTTACAAAGATTAACTTATCACTTGACACTGTTAATGCCACTTGATATATGTTTGGTGAATATTATATAACATAGGCAATTTAAAATAATTTTAATTTAATTTCCCTATGATATTAACTGTAGAACACCAAGAAGGAAATTAAAGATACCTTTATTTCCAATTAAAAACTAATGTTCAATTATACCATCATTCAATTATACCATCATTTCCTTCCCCCATTCTTGAAAAGAATGATCCTTCAGTAGCCAAAAAAGTGCTTCCAGATAAAATAAATTGAAATAACAATTATTTATGTTCATTAAAACGACTAGAATTTCAAATCAACAGTACATATTTAATAGTAAAATTAATTTATATTTATATTAATTTCATAATATATGCTTAGAGCATTTCCAGATATGATAAAATAGTTTTTACATTATTATAGTATCTAAAAAGCTAAAAAAATGTGCCAGAAGTATAGGTTGTTAAAGATGGTAGCATTTGTTTTAAATTTAATGATAATATATGAGAACATGAAATAACCTAAAACAAATTATAAATTTAAATAGCAGAATAACATGTTATAAACACATATATTTGCATATTAGCTCCAATAATAAAATCACTTTAAAATGTTTTAAGAAAAAGCAGATCAGCATGTGTAATTTTCTTCCTCTAGCCCAATTTAATATCAACATAGTTTACTTTTCATGCCAAATACAAAATCTCCCATTTTAGGTTCTTACATAAACTCTTGACAGCTGATTTCTGAGTTTCAGAAACACATTAAATCTGATCCATTTCACCAAATGTTATTCTGTGGTTTAATTGTTGACTTGATAACCTGAGACTAAAACCACTTTTTGACTCTCAACACAACTGGTACTAATATTCTAATTCATTCTCTCTCTCAGCACGCACACACACACATATGCATCATGTACACACATAGGAGAATATTTTTTGAACATGGGAAGACTGCTTGTAACTGGTCCTAAACAGAACAAATTGTAATAGTGAGTGGAGAGGACAAAGACTCTTTTCAGTATGTTTCTGCTTTTTAGGGAAGTTTTGATTTCACTGGATGGAGAATAAATAGAAAAGTGATTAAATAGAAAAAGTAGTGTCACAGGATTTTACATGAGTTCTTGCCAGATGACTGGTTTAGACAGGAATCCTATGAACGAAGTAGTTAAAGCAATCTGGAAAGTAAGTGAGATGAGAGTTCTCCCTCTAAGGGGTGGAGAATATTTGTGTAATAATAATAGTCAGTGTTTACGGAATGTGCTAACACTGTTCTGATGCTCACATTTATTCATTCTTACAATAACCCATGAGGATAAATATTTAATTACACCATATTCCACTTATTTTGACTTTCAAAAATACTAATTTCATATAGTTCAATCTAATGTTATTATTAGTATCCCTATTTTACAGATAAGGAAACTGAGGTACAAAGAAATTAAATAACCTGCCCAGGTTTAACTGGTTAGCATGTGACCAAACTGGGAATCAAACTCATAGCATCTTTTTCATTGTTAACCACTTCACTCTAGGCTTTGAGTGAAGAAGCCAATATACTTGGTCAGGCTGGGAGTAGGCTAAGGAAATCTACTCATAGATTAAAATCTCTTGGACTTCCCCAGTGGTCCAGTGGTTAGGAGTCTGTGCGCTTCCACTGCAGGGGGCGCAGGTTTGATTCCTGGTCAGGGAACTGGGATCTGCGTGCCACGTGACGTGGCCAAAAAAAAAAAAAAAGATCTGCTATATACGATTCCGTCTCTTGGTACTCTGTAAGAGCCCTGAGAAATGGGACAATATATTTTCTACGTATGTATTCTATATACTTCAGGCATAGGAAGATATCAAGGGCATTTTAATAGTTGCACTAAAGTTGATGAGTACTATTTTCCCGTAACAGCAATAATCAAGTGACCAGGTGACTAGATAGAGGGCATTACAGACGCATATATCTACCTTTAAATTAATGTAGCAAAACAGAAGTTTCAAGGTACGTGGCTTTAAACCCAGCTGGAGACCCTGTCATGTAGCAGTCATCAGGCTGGTATCCACTCATTACTAGGACTGGATAGTCTGAACACTTAAAGTCAGGGACAGATACTGATGTACATATTAGCCAAGTGAGAGGATGTTAAATTATATTACTTTTTCTGTACACATAATTATCACCTTTGTACTTCAAATTTAGTAAAAGATCTGCAAAATGGGGTAGAGAGTCCAAAGTCAACTTAAAATCAAGGCCTCCTAAATTCACAAAGAACATAAAAACTTTTGCTCCTTTTACAGGAACTTATGATATATTTAGCCTTGGTAGTCAGAGGCCTCTACAATTTTTTAGTACGTTTGATAATGTTAGGATCAGAAGAAATTCATTCCTATTGTGACTGCTTCAATATTTTTCTCTGTGTCTCTGAACAAACCATGGTGTTACGGAAACCACACAAGATTGGAGTGAAATGCCAGATTCTCCATTATCTACTACTAAATTGTCATACAACATTGAATCAGACATCTGCTTCTCTAGGACCCACTTCTGTTTCTAAAAACTGGATGGGGTTAGATGACCCTAATTCTAAAGCTAGTAATTCAATGCATTCATTTCAACTCTTTGTGTTTCAATTTCCCCATTAAAAAAAATCTCTAGGTCAACAAATAAGACAAAGTAATTCATGGCGTTAGAAGAAAGGCATGATACAGTTACAATGTCTTTTGATATGAAATGCACAAGCATCAGAGTTAGGGAGTTTTCTGTCCTGCCAAGTACATTACTGAGTTCCTTTCATTAAGAACTGAAATAAAACGTGCCTTGAGAGGTACATGATAAACAATTGATACTATATATATTAGTCCTTAACATTCTATAGGGTGAGAGTAATTATGTGTATGTGTGTATGTTTGTGTGTGTTTCCCCCTCATAAAGTCTCTTGAAATGGGTAAATTAACATAGCTTTCAGCTTCCATATAGATTTCAGCTTCAAAAGCCCCATCATTTAGGGTAAACACCTTTACATTTAAAAGAATAGCATTAATACTTTATCTGTACACAATTTTGTCTTAATTTTGAGCTTGCTATGGAAATAGACTTTTTAGGAGCAAATAAAAAGATTTTCAAGGACAATTGCTTGTAAAAAGTAAGAAGATCTAACATCGCTTTAGCAGCTCCAATTGCATTGCAACAGCAATGATTGCAACGGCACAGGGTTTTGTAAAGGCATTTTATTTAGCTGATGTCCTGTTCTTCTCTAAGGAATTCCCTTATTCTCTCCACTAAGTAATAAGTAAAGTTTCCTGAAGATATGAAACTTAACTTGACTTCTACCAACTAAGTGCAGAGGTGACAGGAACAAAAAATAGTAAAAACACGGTGTAAAAGAGGACCAGCCTAAGGGTCAGAGACTAGGATCCTCGTCATGATTCTACTTCTAGGTATTTGCCTCAGTTACCCTTGAGCCAGACACCTGGTTTCTCAGAGCCTCAGCACGCTCTCCTAGAAAATGTGCTAATGTCCAATGTCCTTTCCTGATCCATCATTCTGTGAATTGATGCTTCCAGGTGACAGAAACAAAGAAGTCAGATTGTCCCTGTATTCCTAGGTCTTATTAGGCTCATTATGTGTGAAATACTTTCCTTCCTCTTCCTCTGGCAGCAAGGTAAGTTGGAGCTTTACACCTGGGCATTCCTCCCAAGGTGCTTACTTGGAAACACTGCCTGCTACAAAGTCACCTTTGTCTGTGTTAGCTACTAGAGCTTCATCGGCTTCCTGCCCAGAGAGTGAAAGCCTTGGAAGGAATCCAGGAGAGCATCTATGATAATTCCCTCGTTTTACAGATACTGAAATTGACCCAAGGGCTTTGGTGACTTTCTACTCAGTCCCAACTCCTGAAGCACAAGAGAGATTTCTAATGTAGGGTTTTCTGATTCTGTCATTGGTATTTTTCCTATCTGTCTATCTTTATTACAAGGATCATCAAAGATTTTTAATGGATTTCACAAAAGGATAACATGAAAACTTCCTTATTTCATCCTTTTTTTAAAAAAAGTATTAACCTAATAATAATGGATTAAACTTGTAATTTTTGGAAACATGTACTAGTAGGTTTCTGCAAATGTATTGAGAGTTGGGAAAGCCTCATTTAGCAGGGTTTTGAAGGGGAGAAGTCAAATTTGTGTTTTTCTTAATTTAAAAGATATTAAGTGATTTTCCCCTGAAGTATCCAACTTTTGAAGAAAGTGAAAAAGCTTCCAATACCACTAGAATTTTCTCTCAGTTTTTCTGTTTTGCCTCTTCAATCCATCTCACTGAGGGCAGAAGAGAAGTTAATATTCAGCCTGATAATAAATTTTGGGAAAAGCTTTAAATTAGCTTAATAAATTGTGTTATAAGCTGTTGCAATGTTGCCATAAAGTCACTCTAAAGCTTGCTAATGGTTGGCCTTACAATCGACAGACATGGTCTGCAATATTAGACACTGATTCTCTTTGTAAAAGGTTGACGAAAAGAGATTGCTATCAAATGTGTTGAAAACATTTCTGTCGCAACCTGTGGCAGGTTGCAGAGGTTCTCACAAACAAGATAATTGAGCTTGGTTCTTTCACTAACTCATTAATGGTTTTAAACTCCCACAAGTGCCCATATTTACTACAAAGAAATAACCCAAACTTGTTTTCTTTTTCATAGGAAACTGTCCTTGAAGAAGGTACACTTGCTTTTAAAAACTGGGTTAAAACAGGCACAGAAGTTTACAGACAGTTTTGGATCTTTGATGTGCAGAATCCAGAGGATGTGGCAGTTAACAGCAGCAAAATTAAAGTTAAGCAAAGAGGTCCTTACACGTACAGGTGAGCAAGTACCCATAAAAAGTGGCATTCTTTCCTTGACCATATGTGTTTCTGAAAAAGCTTCCACTTGACAACTGCCATTGTATTGAAATGTACTTATTATTTTCTTGCCATTAACATATATTGAAATATTCTGTTTCTGCCTATACAAAAGCCTAATCTAAGGATTTAATGATGATAAGAAATATATATTTTATTATGAATTTACCAGCACCAATTAACTGACCTACATTTAGGAAGTTACAGGAGTTTTACACTTGTGGCATATATTTTCAACAAGTCTAAAATATGCATGCTAAATAGAAAACCATCTATCACAATTTTAAAACCAGAGTACTTTGAAATCCTAAAATTGAAAGTGTAGGTTATATGAGTGGTTCTCCAAGGGTGGCTCCTGAACCAGCCACATCAGCATCTCCTGGAAACTAAGTAGAAATGCAAATTCTCTTGGACCAAATGAATCAGAGACACTTGGTTTAGACCCCAGTAATGAGTTTTACAAGTACTCTGGGGGACTGCAATACACACTCAATTCTGAGAACCGCAGCATTAAACTGTTTCTACCTAACTACAATACCTGCTAAGGACTTCTATTCAAACTAATTTCCAGGTCATGTGGGTGTTTGTATTTATTCAGTAGTTTCATTCTTATGTTTTCTTCAGTACTGAGACTGAATAAGCTATACCTTTATCTACATGCCTTAACATACTTTTGAATAGAATCATAGCCTATTGGAAGTAGGGGGAAATAATTAGCCAGAACTTTTCATTTTGTAAATTTAAAAACAAACTGATACCAGGGTAAGTGAAATGATTTGTCCATGTTCACACAAACCTAGGAACAGGTAACTCTTAGATATTTGTGTACATTTTCTCCTATGTAAATTATAGACTATGTGTATTTTCTAACTATCAGAGTAGGAAAAGGGGAGATTGAGGTGCTAAAAACACTAACCTTATCCAGGTGTTAGGAATATCTTTATGGTGCCCATATGTGAACATAGCTAATCCTGCTGTATCATTTGTTATACACGAGTGGTTTTTCCTCAAGAATAATACAACTACTCATATGCCATGATCAAGTATTATTACAAAATTTCATATTTGTAATGATTTCTTCTAATTCATAGTTTTACTTTCTTATCTGTTTCAGATAGTCTATGATTATATAATTCCTTTCCATGCATTAATATATTTCTAGATTGACAACTCACATGCAAATATAATGAAATAACAGTAGTTGGGAGGGTGATGCCTGCTGCCATAGCACATGATACGTAAGCTGCCAAGAGCCTTGGTGCCTATTCTGTCCTAATAATTATCCCCACGTCTCCTGTCTCCAGGCACAGGTCTGTGACTATTCACAGCTCTGTCAAAGAAGACATGGTTTTCATTGTTACAAAAAAAAAAAAAAAAAACCCAGAAAACAAAACAAAACACCACCTCACCTTGGAAAATATTTTTATTTTTTCATGGTCTTATAGTTCTTATGTTGTTATGAAAAGCCTGTATGAATACCTTCGCCCAAAAACTGTTGTTAGCTGTGATGTGTACCTATGAAAATGTAGAATTCACATATGACCTAGTAAGAATCTAAGCATAACTGATTAAAAATCATACCCTGAGAGAACTGAATACATGTGATAAAAGAGAATACTTAGAATTTGGGAACTCATCACAGTTTTTAATTTTTTGTTTGTTTGGAGGGGTTATGTTTTTACTTTTAAAGATATTAATTGGGGTGTGGAAAACCTAAACATAATATTGAATCCTGCCCTAGTCCTGCTCTGATAGTTGACAGTTAATACATATTTTATTCTTAGAGGCTTAAACCTTGCTCTTGAAGGGATGAAAGGGGGTGGGTTAGATATAATTGATTTACCTGGAGAAGAGAAGTTGGATTTGCAGCTAAAGTACATAAACAATAAACTCCTATTTATATAACAATGTTAAACGAATTTGTGATTAACTACAAGTCATCTTGTCTCATGATGTCAACAAAACGGTCCTTAGTGTCTGCTTGGATGCCTTAAATGATGGGAAAATGACGTTTACCTTTCCGAAAAAGTTAATAGTTTGAGAGTCTTCCACGTGTTGAGGTGATCCTGCCTCTCCATCAGTTACACCCTGAACTCAGTTGAAATTCTAAGTGGAGGAGGATGTCTCTCCTCAAACCACAGGCTTATTTGGCTTTTGGCTGCTAAAGTGAGCTTGATGAAACTTTGACAAGATGTGACATGGGTCAAAGCATAAAATTGCCTGGATAGAGATCTGAATTATATATGTTTCAACCTACACCATCTCTATGAAGACCTGGTAACTCCTTCAGAATATTCTCAGATCCAATCTTTTTTTTTTTTTTTAATTACTTTGTTTTGGCAGGAGTACATAGCAACATCGGAGGCAAATTCCTCCCTTTGGCCTTATTAACCAACACTTTCTGAAACCTGTATACATTCTAATTTTTAAACAAAAACTTTAGTGATTCATGTTCTCTTTTTAAAAGTACGTTCTAAACACAGGCCTCAGTTTAAAGGATTTTTCTGTTAGTCAGTGCCATCTACTGGTACAATGTAAGTACAACTAAGTAAACTAGAATTTGGGTCACAATTATTTTTCTATTTCAATTATTTTATGTATATATATATATATATATATATATATACATACATATATATAATCCTGAAAATTAAAGTATTTTAATTTTAAAAGTTAATATGTAATCTAATTTTAATAGACAGTTATCTAATAGAAAAGAGTAATTGACTAGTAATAGACTCTCCAGGGAGATGTTCCAGATTTTTATATTCTTTGCATGTCTACAGTACTCCAAGAAGAATAAATAATAAAGCTTGATGAAATTACATTAGAAATAAAATCTATTTCAATTTTTTGTGAATTCTCTTTTTAAAGAATGTGAACAATAAATTTATTCATTCAAAAATATTTACGAAGAACTTACCATGCACCAGACACTGCTTGGGGATACAAAACACACATACTACCTATGTTATAGCAATTTACATTTTTATTATACCTGATTGAAATCAGGTCAGGTGTTTTTGGTTTGTTTTATTTTTTCCATTTCAGTCCCATGCTTTTTCAGTCTTTACCTTAGTTAGATAACAACAGATAACTATTAGAACCTCACATAATAGACATTCAGATATATGATAGAGCAATGAATAATGTCCACCTTATTGCATCTCAGTAAATATCTTATACTTGCAAAAGATTTTTTTCCATATATAACCCTTCACCACATTCCTAAAAAGTAGTTGGTACTTTGCCTAGAGATTTTAGAGCCAGGAGCTTAGAACTCATAAGTATACAATATATGGGGCAGAGATGGAGGGGAATGGTCTCTAAAGTGGAAATTATATTCCATTAGTCATTTTAATTCTGATTAAAATACCAGAAATTATGAAAAAGCCAGTACTGGAAAGGCTGTGTACTTTGAACATTCTTTCTAATATACGGAAATGTGCTTTTACTGTTCCTCTCCTTCAGCCTCTCTGCTGTCTCCTCCCGACCCTCAGGATAAAAAGCTAGATATCTGAGTACAGGACACAACCCTTTTATGTTTGAGATCTTGTTTATTTTAGTGGCTTTATTTCCACCACTCTCCTTACTCTAACTCTGTAAACCAACCATAGTGAAAAGTTTGCGTATCTAAAATTACACCATGTTCTTACTCCTTAATCTTCTACCTGTTATTTTCTACCCTATTTTACCTAACTAAACTTCTCCTTGTCATTCAGACCACTTGTGTGGAATTGTATCTTGTCCATTATCCCCCCATAACCATCCCAAGCCTGGGTTTGTACCTGTTCTGTGTTTTCCCACAGACTCTGTGTAAACTCCTATAATAACGCATACTCCTTCTCCCCTGCTCTGCACCTCTAAGACACCTCCCCACCCACCCCTCCCTGCCTTCTCTGATTTGCTAGAAACTCAGCATTTGCTTATGTATCATTTTAACCCACTTGTTTAGCCTAATTTCTGACATAGTCTGTGCACTCAAAAATTATTTGTTGTATGAATGAACGGCATTTGAGACTTAATGTTCACGTGCAACAATTACTTTGAATTTTATTTACTTTTTTTTTTCAGAGTTCGTTATCTAGCCAAGGAAAATATAACCCATGACTCTAAGACCCACACGGTCTCTTTCCTACAGCCCAACGGTGCCATCTTTGAACCCTCACTATCAGTTGGACCCGAGAATGACACTTTCACTGTTCTCAACCTGGCTGTAGCAGTGAGTAGACAAACAGCGAAATTACTGGTTTTGAAATACTCTAGAATCCTCTGTAATTAATCTCATGATTAGAACTACTATTAGATATCATTTATTTTGTTATTTTTATGAAAATGTGTTCTTACGGCATTATTTTGAATTACACTCATTTGGAAAGATAACAAGATTATAGAATAATCAACTGAATTAGAAAACTATTTAAAGTGTATTATTTAGGACTTCCCTGGTGGCGCAGTAGTTAATAATCCACCTGCTAATGCAGGGGACACGGGTTCGAGTCCTGGTCAGAGAAGATCCCACATGCTACAGAGCAACTAAGCCCGTACGCCACAACTACTGAGCCCGTGAGCCACAACTACTGAAGCCCATGCGCCTAGAGCCCGTACTCCACAACAAGAGAAGCCACCACAATGAGAAGCCCACGCACAGCAAAGAAGACTAGCCCCCGCTCTCCGCAACTAGAGAAAGCCCTTGTGCGGCAAAAAAGACCCAACACAGCCAAAAATAAATAAATAAATAAAATTTTATTTTTTAAAAAGTAGGATTTAACTTTGACAGTCTTCTTCCTGTGGCTCACACTGAGGCAGAGCAATGTAATCATTCAGAGATGAAGAAAAAATACACTTTTAGTCTTGGCAAGATTTGGCAGTCATTTTAAAGATACAGTTGAAAACTTTTATCAAGCTTAATTCTAGTATTTTCCATTTATTTGTTTAAAATCTGATACTACAATTGGTGTCTTAAACGGTGATTTTTTTTTGCAGGCTGCACCCCACCTCTACCCAAACGTATTTATTCAAGGAGTACTCAATTCACTTATCAAAAAGTCAAAATCTTCTATGTTTCAAAAGAGAACTTTGAAAGAACTATTGTGGGGCTATAAGGATCCATTCTTGAGTTTGGTTCCATACCCTATTACCACTACAGTTGGTGTGTTTTATCCTGTGAGTACAAAGTATGAATGTTGATACTGTTAGACTTTAGTTGGATAAATATAATGGCACTGACAATTCATAATTTTATCATTTAGTGTGTTAACCCTATTTCTGATATGGGAATACATGTTCTAAGTTTTTAAAAGTCTCCACCTACATGGATTTAGTTTTCCTAGTTGGGAGAATTTACTTATCTGAATTTAGCACATTTAATCAAGTTTCCACTGTTAGATAAATATACAGTTGTCAAAAATAAGGTTATAAGCTGGTAAGACTTTGAACACTGTTTTTGGTTTTGATTTCCTGTCTGATAAAATCAAGTTTAGGGGCTTCCCTGGTGGCGCAGTAGGTTGAGAGTCCGCCTGCTGATGCAGGGGACACAGGTTCGTGCCCCGGTCCGGGAAGATCCCACATGCCGTGGAGCGGCTAGGCCCATGAGCCATGGCCACTGAGCCTCCGCGTCCGGAGCCTGTGCTCCGCAACGGGAGAGGCCACAACAGTGAGGCTCACGTACCGAAAAAAAAAAAAATCAAGTTTAATACCATATTTTTATTTTTGTTAATTGTATTCATCATATCATTCTTCCTTCTCTAGACCTGTTACAAATTTATTTCAATGTAAATTTAAAAGTCACCAGAAATTGCACAGCAGATTGATAAGTCAGCAATGTCATATTTTCACAGAATTAGTTGATAAGAACTTCTAGGAATCTACAAATGTCATGAAATGGCAGTTTGGAGATAAAGAAAAACGTGAACTTGGTTATGTACTTAGTTATAGCATAATGTTTTGAATTATAAATAGGACAAGGTGACTATTGCATTGAAAATATGACGGTGATTTCATTTGGCACTATATGACGTATTAGTTATATTCTCCAGTTCGTGGTTGTTATTTTACTTTAGATGGTTTTTAGGATTGCAAGTTCATAGATCAATCAAATATGAATATAGAAAGCCTTAAGGGATAATAAATTCGGTTACTATTATTTAACACAAATATTCTTAATTCTTTCCTTGGCTAATTCTGCTTTAAATTTTGTAAGCACTTATTATCTTATTAAAGATCATAACATTGAGAATACTTCTAGAAATCTGTCATTGTTCTCATAGGTTTTGTTCATTATCCCCTCACCTCAATAAAATAGGAGTAGTGATTAAGATGGCCTTTCTGGCTTAATTATGAAAAGTGTGCTAGAGTTGGATGTCAGCTTTGCTATTCGTTTCCTTCTGTCTGAGGATCTAGCACTTATTTCTAGGCACCTTTTATATTATATCTTTTTAAAATGTTAAAGACCAAAAATTTAAAAACTTTATTGCATATATATATTTCAAATCATATTAAAAAATTATGAACAACCACTGAGAAATGTGTAGGTTAATTACATATTTTATAACTTAGAAAATGTGGCTTGTTGTAGAAGTAATTTTTTCTTGTACGTATCTTTTCAGTACAACAATACTGCAGATGGAGTTTATAAAGTTTTCAGCGGAAAGGATGACATAAGCAAAGTTGCCATAATCGACACATATAAAGGCAAAAAGTAAGTATTCACACAAAGTGTGTGTGTGTGTCACTAGGATACTCTAAGGCAGGCAAGAAACTTATTTAACAACTGGTAATGCACAGACACCAACCTATGGAACAGACCTGCCTGTATCTCAGCCCTAGAAACTCCTGTTCTGCCAGGCGTTAACCCTTTAGTTGTGACGACTGGTCACACTAGTGCATAGGTGCTGAGTGTCAGACCCACTGAGGGTTGACCTTTATACATAGGTTCTCTTACATAAAGAAATCTAAAGAAACTACTTCCATCTCTGCTGCATAACCAGCGTTATTGTGCACTCATACAATTACATAACCACAAATGAAAAGGAAGAAAATCAATACATTAACTCATCTAGTAAGTAGGAAAATATATCTTTCTGCTTTTTTTATTTTAACCGAGCATGTCAAATAAAACTTGTTCATTCCAAGGACATGACTAAATGTGCCTATAAAGGTGGAAGCTTAATGAATCCATGCCAACACTTTCATGACTTTCCCCTTCAAAATTTTCTTGAAATATTTTCTATATTGATAACTTAGCTTTTAAAAACTTTATCAATGCAATAAGGGAAGTAGTACTTCAAGTGCTAAAACTGACATATTAAACTTCAAAATAAGGAGCATGCCTCCTGTGAAGCAGTAGTAGAATGAGATATGTTCATATAGCCATGATTTCCTACTTTCCCCTAGCTTGTGCCTGTTTATCTGGAGTACACCTAATTTATTCATCATATGTCTAAAATAGGACGAACCCCAATAAATATCAAGGGAAAAGCCTTTTCTCCTCAAAGTTAAAATGACTTTTAAGTCAGTGATTTTCTGACAAAGAATAGTCAAAATCAAAAGAGATGAAATATTTTTATTAAGTAAACATTACCTCACACTGCGTTCCTATCTCAAAGTTGCTTAAAACTGTTAAACACTCGTGTAGTCCTTTTTCTTCTACAGAGTTCATAGTCACGTATTTTTGTTGAAAATTCTAATGGAGGAAAATGAACACATCTAAATGCTCATTTTAGGGGAAATCACTATATATTAAGGCAAGTGAGCATTTCCTCTATTTCAATATTACAGAGAGTTTTTGAGGAGTGTTACTAAATGCTCCAAATTGGAGTAAGAATTTCACATGAGTTTAAGATTATGACAAGGTTAATTTAACTGACCATGGCAAGACTGAGCATGATTAAGTTTACTCTGTTTAAAAAAGCAGGAGCAGTGGAGGTGATGCTGGTTGGATGAACTGGGAGATTGGGATTGACATATATACACTAATATGTATAAAACAGATAACTAATAATCTGCTGTATAAAAATAAATTAAATTAAAAGCAACAACAAAGAATCAACAGCTTGCCTTGACATCTTATTGGATGGTATGTTGGGAGTGTGAAAAACCCATTTTCCATCACCAAAAAGTGGGGCTGAGTGTGCAGACTATCACTACTATTGTTTTTATTGTTTCCAGATATGTACGTTGATACATATATCTTATGTAGATACCAGAGTACAAATTAACAAACTCCATCCTACTTTAATGCCCACTCACGTAAGAGGTAAAAGAGAGGAAAAGCTTAAATTGATTATCTACATGTTTCTAATCTCTACTGATCAAACATCTGCTTCTTTCTGTCCTCCTCCACGCTGCCCTCTTCCCTCATACTGAGTTTATACCAGTTATCTGGTTAATATTTTCCTCCTATTCAGCTGAACACACAAAACAAAAAAAACTTTCCCCTAAGTAGAGAGCTAAATTTCTGATAAGTGCTTCTCAATTTCCTTTTTGCAGAACTCTGTTCCAAGTTGTTTCTAACTACCAACTTTTGGCAGCTTTTATTGTATAATCTGGCCACTTAATGGCATCAGGCACTTCACTTATCTCAACAAGATGCAAACTTCAAACAAAACATAGACCAAATGACTTAGAACATTTCTTAAACCTAGCATTTGACACATCTAGTCTAATCAATATTATTTTTGCAGGAGTACTGACTCATAATAGACAATGTAATGTGAAAACACGCTCTTGAAATGAGACTGATCATTTTCTTTCTTTTTTTTTTTTTTTATTCCTAAGGAATCTCTCCTATTGGCCAAGTTATTGTGACATGATTAATGGTACAGGTAAGGGCGTTTGTTCTGTGGTAATAATCACAGTGAAACCAACTCCTTTCTCCCACAAATCCACCAGGGTACCTGCAGTGTTCTGGAGGTTGAGGGTATGCGTTTACCTATCTTTGTATCCCTGCAACATAATTCAGAGTCTCTGTTCTTATGTAGGCTTAGTAAATGCCTGTCTAATGTGATGGGATTTCTGAAGATTAACCATTGAAGATGAGCCTTTACTGCATTCCTGGGGAAATGTTTGCTTCATAAAAGCTTTACTTAATTGAACTCCCTCCCTGGCCACAGAAGTCAGGGGTTAGAAAGTTTTAGAGTAGTCGTCACTGTCTGCATCTTTTGTAAGTACTGTGTACATAATGGTTTAAAACTGAAAGAATTAAAAAATCAAGATAAGTACAAAAGTAAAACATGCATCCAAATTGAGGTTTAAATATGAGGTAGAATCAGTGAAGCTGTCAAGACAGAGCCACGGATTTTTGAATGAGGTGATCAGAAATGAGAGAGAAAACAGCAACAAAACAAGGTTATAAGTGTACTAACCATGAAAAATGTATGCAGAAATGAACATTCTGAATTAGAGTTGTGAAGAAAGAAAGTACTATGAATTTAGATTTAGTGTGTGGTAGATCCAGCTTATTATTCTCCTTAAAAAAAAAGCAAAGTACACATATGCCTGTCATTTTAAGAATTAAGATTGTAGGGCTTCCCTGGTGGCGCAGTGGTTGGGAATCCGCCTGCCAATGCTAGGGGACGCGGGTTCGTGCCCTGGTGGGGGAAGATCCCACGTGCCACGGAGCGGCAGGGCCCATGAGCCATGGCCGCTGAGCCTGCGCGTCCAGAGCCTGTGCTCCGCAACGGGAGAGGCCGCAACAGTGAGAGGCCCGCGTACCGCAAAAAAAATAAATAAAAAATATTAAAAAAATAAAAATAGCATAAAAAAAGAATTGATTGTAAAAAGCAATGGGAATCGAATCCCATGAGGTAATTAAAATCAGAGGTGAACTTTCAGCTGCTAAGAAGCAGAAGCAGAGTATAATGTTTACAAAGCCAGTGAGACAATACTTTATAGGAAGGTAATATAATGAAGATGAAAAATGTTAAATACAAAGTTATGTAAAAGGCAGGGAATAAAAAGGAAACAGAATATTCATTTTCACAAACGTATTGCTGAGTTTTGCATGTTTATTTAATTTTGTTAACACTCTTCTAGAAGAAAAGAGCAAAACCAAACGTTGAGTTTGCTTTGTAGTGCTTTGAGTCATGGGGATGGGTGAGGAGGTCCTTTCTCAGCAGTTCATTTCTGCAAGTAGTCAAGTGTCCCAATACCACTAACTCTAGTAATTTCGTAAGCATAAACTTCAGTCCTTAGACACAGAGAAAAATATACTGTGCTTCTTCTAGTAAACTACTGTTTATGGGCTTAAAAATATATTTAAAAACTTTGTCCAAAACAGAGAAGTAGAGAAGTTTTAAAAGAGGAATTAGAGGGCTTCCCTGGTGGCGCAGTTGTTGAGAGTCTGTCTGCCGAGGCAGGGGACACGGGTTCGTGCCCCGGTCCGGGAAGATCCCACATGCCGCAGAGCGGCTGGGCCCGTGAGCCATGGCCGCTGAGCCTGTGCGTCCGGAGCTTGTGCTCTGCAACGGGAGAGGCCACAAGAGTGAGAGGCCCGCGTACCGCAAAAAAAAAAAAAAAAAAAAAAGGAATTAGAGGGTTCGTTAATGACTATAATATAAATACATGTGTATCGGGCATGAAGCTAAAAGTATCTAAGAATAAAAAAGCAGTGAAACAAACTAGGAGCAAAGGTAGACTGAACAGGCCAGAGGACTCTGATGGAATCCCTGTGAAAGAGATTCTTAGTTATGGCACTAGGGAAAAGACTAATGAAATGGAAAGTGTTCCAAGGTGTTTTTTATCATGATTTAGATGTACCTCTTCTACCTTCTTCAGTAAGTTTAAAGAGACAGAAAATGAAAATATTGATTTACATTTGAATGTATTACAAAAAAGAGCCCTGCTAATATCAGCTATCTTATGGTCATGGCCCATGGTAATTGCTGGTGTCATTATGACACAATTTTCGATGATATTTCAGATCATTTTTAAAGCTTTTCAAGGTATTCTTTTCCTTTAATGGCTACGATGTTGGGACAGCAGTTGTCCCAACATTCTCTCAATGTCAGTATCAACTTCATTGAGATCTTCTGTTACATTTCACTTACCACAAAAATATAAATGAAATGTAATAAGATCACAAGGTTAGTGCAGTTACCAGAAGAAGAGCGTGGTATTCATAGTTGAAGGATAGGTCTTACTGTTTTGAACAGACACATTCAGTGGTGGCTCATTTTGGTGACATTCATTTGTGGAGCAAATGGAGGGATAATCTCATTTCTTCTGCTTATATCCAGTGTGTGCCATGGGTCATAACCATAGGAGAGATTCAATAAACTCAACAAATGCCCTTTTTATTTTGATGTGTACATTTTCCAACCACTTGCATGAATCCTGTTTAGTGAGAGAACTTCAATAAGTGACTTAAAAAATATTAATCAGACGTTAGGGTAGGTGAATGAATCGTTATTAAAGGTAAGAACAACATTTACCAAAATGAGTTCTAAAGGAACCTCAAGGTAAGAAAAGTGCTACTCTGATAGGTGGAGGATTTCAAAACACACAATCACAGTTTTAACAACGTGCGATTTTGCCATTGTTTTGTAACTTTCATTAATTTTTAAGGAGTGGGAAAATTTAGTATGAAATTGAATACCAGTGATTGTGTACAGTGTACAGACTGGTTCAATGTGGTAGCTGCTAGCACATGTCACAATTCGGCACTTGAAATGCAGCTAGTACAAACTGAAATGTGCTGTAAGTATACAGTACACACTGGATTTGAGATTTTTGTTAATTTTTATATTGATTGTATTTAAAATGATGGTATTTTGGATATATTGGGTTAAATAAAATATACCAGATACTTTTTTCATTTTTAAAGTGTGGCTACTGGAAAATTTTAATACTATATATACAGTTTGCATTTTATTTCTCTTAACCCTGCTGGAATCGAGATTTCTAGATTTGTCTAGGACACACATTACACCTAATCCCTTGCCACTGGCTTGGTTTTTAAACAGATGCAGCATCATTTCCACCTTTCATTGAGAAGACCCAGGTATTGCAGTTCTTCTCCTCTGACATTTGCAGGTAAGACAAAGACATTGATGTATTTCTCGAAGTCACAGTTCTTTACCTAAGAGATAAAACACAGACCAAGAAGCTCATACTTAATAATCATGTTATTTGAGAAAAATAAAGTACATTTAGGGAAGTTTTTTCTTGATGTATTAAGAAGAAATATAATATGGAATTCATAATGTGTTCATAAGTCTTTAAAAAATTGAAAGATGTAGGAGGATATTTTGCAAATCATTTTCTTCTTTGTTATTTCTAAGCGAGGACTATATTTTCATTCTTTTACTAAACTAGTAGTATGTGTAGTAACAGTCAAGTCTAGAAAGGCATCTTCAGTCTTTGTAAAGATGTCCAAAGAGGATGATACCACAGTCACAGGGCTATGTTAATGTGCTCTACAGACAGTATAGCATCTTTTCAAATTGATGGTGCCTAGCAGCTATTACAAAAGCATTGGCGCACACACACACCGATATCCTTGAATCCTAGCCCTGTTTCTAAACGCTTGTGGTGTGGGTAAGCATTTAATATCTCTGAATTTTTCCTTATCTGTAAAACTGAAAAGAGCAGCATTTCTTCAACTAGAATTAACAGGGGATTAGAAAACATGTATTGAGTCCCGGTATGTTGCCGGGGTTATGGTGGACACTTGGTAAATGCAGGAGTGTAGGAGACATATATCAAAACCCATATGCACGCACCCCAGCATGTGAGCAGCCTTCCTCTCCAGGATTAAGTTGTAGAAGATTGAAATTTTATTTTTCTTTAATTTAAATTGGGCACAAATAGAGGACTTGAGGGAGTCATATAAATATTTAATCTATAAAGGAAACTCTGAGAAATGTCCTCAGTATAAATGAAGATCTTTATCTGTGTTTAGGTCAATCTATGCTGTGTTTGGAGCCGAAATTAATCTGAAAGGAATCCCTGTGTATAGATTTATTCTTCCATCCTTGGCTTTCGCATCTCCACTTCGAAATCCAGACAATCACTGTTTCTGCACAGAAAAAATTATCTCCAAAAATTGTACTTCATATGGTGTGCTAGATATTGGCAAATGCAAAGACGGTGAGTAAAAGTTCTCGATGGCACAATCCATGCCATAATTTGTAGTTTTCTTTAAACTTCACCCAGGAATCCTTTTCACCAAAAATTTAAAGTGTGAAAGCAATAAGGGCAGAAAGTAAAGGTGGTGGTAGGATATTTTTGTTTTGATTTTTGTACCGCTGTCAATCAAGGTCCCAGTCGTTTCAGTGTTGCAAAACTTAGTTATTATTAGGTAAAGCCCTACTGATATTTCCGAGTGCTACTTTGGAAAATGTCTCTTCAGGTCCTTTGCTCATTTTTTAATTGGGTTGCTTATTTTTTTGAGTTGTGTGAATTTTTTATATATTTTGGATGTTAATCACTTATGGGATATGCATTTTTCAAATATTTTTTTCCCATCCCATAGATACCCTTTTCATTTTTTGATGGCTTTCTTTGCTGTGCAGAATCCCTGCGCTCCTTATAGATTTAGGGTAAAATGAAAATAGTTCCCAGAATATTCTGAGCATCCTAACTTACCCATCTGACGTTTTTCTAACCTTTTCTACCCTAGAAAATGGTAAATTAAAATAAGTATATTTCAGGGTGTCTGAGACAAGAATTGACTCAGACATGAAATTTGGAGTCTATCTTATTTTGCTCACCTTCTTCATATTGGAATGGGTGAGAATAAAGAAAGAAAAGCCTCTTCAATAAATTCTCAGTCCATAGACATACTACTGCCTGAAACATGAAGGTATATGGTTGTAACTTTGTGTTCAGCAGCTAAGCATTACATATTGAAAATAAACACCTAAGGGATAAACGACAGACATCAACTGAATGGTTAGTAGGATGATGCAGAAATTTATATTTTATTTCTGATCAAAAAGCAATCAGATATAATAATTTTCCCTCACCCTCATCTCCCAGTTAGTATTCAAAGCCAACTTTATGCATTTCTCTTTCTAACTTAAAAAGCTTTATTTTCAAGGAAGTCTTTCCTAAGTGGTATATGAAATGAGGAAAACAATTTATCCCAATTGTCTCTTAAACCTTGTTTTCAGGAAAACCTGTGTATATTTCACTTCCTCATTTTCTATATGCAAGTCCTGAAATTTCACAACCTATTGAAGGCTTAAGTCCAAATGAAGAAGAACACAGCACGTACTTAGATGTTGAACCTGTAAGCAAATACATTATTTATCGCATTTGTTTTCTAAAAATGAAGGAAAAATTAAATTCTCTCCTTTTGTCAATCACATTTATTGATATTTATTGTATCACAATCTTGATAAATTACTTTTATTTCAATGAAAATTACGTTGATTTCTTCCTATTGTTGCTTATGAAATGTCAAGGTAATTTTAGTTTTTCAGCAAAGGTCAGGAATAACAATGATGGAAATGATTCTAATCAGTTTAAAACAATTTGGTATAAGGTACTCTTTTATGCTTCTTTTATACTTATCTGCAAGTATTGCTTACATGAAGGGACACTGTAGACTATGAGGGATTAAAGAAGTTTTATGGGTATATGTGCATTTGAGGCAAGATCTATGATATACTTAGTGTAAAAAAATCTACTAAATTTCCTATAGTGTAACAGTTTTAACTTTTATTTTAATATTCCCTTGTCAACAGTTAAATGAAATGCCAGGATTTTAGTAGTCATGTTTCAGTTTAAATAATGACGGAAGTAGCATTATAATTATACGGATGATACATGGATTCTGACTGAATATATATTTGACAATATATAGTTCAGGATTTAAACTGACTACATGAGTTCTACGTTTCACTACTGTTGTTGTTGTTGATTCCCCAAAACCAGTTCAGATAAAAATCAAAAATCTAACTAAAACCTTGACAGTAGTTTGGGCAAAAAATTGTGTGTGCGTGCGTGCACATATATACGCATGTGTGTATACATCTGTATACACACAGGCATATACACATAAAATGTAATTATGGACAGTTTTGTATGTAATATTTAATAAGTCCAATTAATTATTTAATAAATTTCACAAGTTTTAAGTACAACAGTTTCACCTTAGGTTCTACATAACAGTAAAAATAAGTTTTGGATATTATAAAAGAATGTTTTTAAAATAAGTTGGTAATTTTTTAGTTTGTCCTCTTTTTAGATAACTGGATTTACCTTACGATTTGCAAAACGGCTGCAGATCAACATATTGGTCAAGCCAGCAAGAAAAATTGAGTGAGTCCCTTGGAAAAAGTTTCATTATGATTTTTACTACCTCCTTGTAAGAATGTGGGTATATCTATGACAGGAAGTGGAAATAATAAAACTTTCACCTTCTATTTGGCTTTATGTCATTAAATGATTACTAAATGCTTATAACTTTCATTTGTAATTTAGAATTATATCTAGTGTGTATTGTAATGGTATTTACACATATTTTGGAATGAGTATTTGTGGCACTGCTCATTTTGCTAGCTGTCCAAATATTTTCAAGAGAATAGTTTCTAGCATTCATATTTTAGTTTCCTGGGTATAATTTTTTGAAAGGACAAAACATATGCTTAGGAAAAGTCAGTCTAATTAGAAATGTGTATTAGAAAGATTTATAAGAGTGAAAGATGTCTGAGAAACAGCCGTATTAAAATTTAAATGATTCACTACAGGGAACAAACATCAAGGTACTTAACCAAGTTTCAAGAGCAGCTAATTTCTGAAAATTTATTTTCACTAATAATTATTAACATTTCTGTCATATATAGGTGGTATATTATTATATATATTCATAATTATTTTCAATGTTTATTACAGAGCGTTAAAGGGTCTGAAGCAGAACTATTTTGTGCCTATTCTTTGGCTTAATGAGGTTAGTATTTTTATTTCTTAGTCACTAAAAACAGTAAACTTCTTGGTAGATAGAAAAAGCTTTTGATGTTTGAAAACTGAATACACATATATAGTATTTGAACTTGTGTTTCCATTGCATATATGGGAGATTTATATAGTATTAATTATATAATAATTATTTTGAGAGTACCAAATCACACAGAAGTATCACGCTTATGTTAGATTTCAGTGTTCTTATTTTCATAATGTTTATTAAACAATTTTTCCTGTCATAATGCGTATGTTAGGAAAGAGTCATGCAAACGTGTAACTCCAAATAACTCCATGTGAATGTTGTAGTGCTAATAAAAGCCAACCAAACTTATAAAAACCAGGTTAGAGTAGATGTAGGCAGTCTATCTAGTGCCTGACAAGATATTTTTAGTACAAATCAGGGAACTGATTAGTTAGGAAATGAACTGTATAAGCCTTTAGAGGAAGAAAACTGTTGACCCTTGGCATTTTCCTCTGCCACTAGGAAACAACCTTCAGAAAACAGGAGAATATTCCAGTAAGACCATTGTATTTATCAATGAAATCAGTATATTGAAGAATGCTAGCTGACATGTTTCAAGGGAGGAAGATTATATTTCTCTCTCTAAATATTCTACCTTGGCATTTATTGCCTTCTTTGACATGCATGCAAAGGGAATTCCATTGGCTTGTCTTACAGATAAAGATGACTAACATCTATGCGGTGTTTCAAAAAAAGAGTGATACACTTAAGTGGAGAGTTGAGTATTTTGTTCCCAAATCTAACCAAATAACGTTATTTATTAACTTGATTACAGACTGGTACCATTGGTGATGAGAAGGCAGAAATGTTCAGAAGTCAAGTGACTGGAAAAATAAACCTCCTTGGCCTGGTAGAAATTACCTTACTCAGTGTTGGTGTGGTGATGTTTATTGTTTTTATGATTTCATACTGTGCACGCCGATCAAAGAGAGTAAATTAAGTAAGTATATAACAAAAATTATATACGGCTTTAATGACATTAGTTTATATATTACTTGTTTATATATTACTTGTTTTCATTTTATCAAAAAGAGGTTATAAACTAGGCTGCAAATATTTCTGGATATGTCTAGTCATCTAGCATTTTTAACACATCCTTGAAGTTTTGAGTTGCTTAATGTAAATTATAAACAAAGCCTGAATGAGTAATAAGGCCTATTAATATTAAGCAGATCACGACATTTCATCTTTATTCAGGGAGGACTGGGCTAAATTATGAAATTGTCACCTTTGAAAAGTTAGAATGTTGCACAATAGCTGTACATGTACTAAATTTTATTTCTTGATTATTTCTAGCTAGTTATTTTAAAAAATCACAAATAATAATTAATTTAATATATCTCTGACTAGGAAAGGGTATGTGAAACTGAAAATGGTAGATATTAGGGGAGACTGAAATTTACAAAGGAAAAGAAAATAAAAAGGAAAATTTAGATTAGATAAGCTAAAAATTAATGAGAATTAAAAACTCAATAAAGGATATAGATAAGATAAAAATATGCTGTTGTAAAATGAAGATAGCATATTAAGACAGAGTTGCTGCATATAGACATGCTGTCCAAAATCATGATGTGGAAGCCCTGATGAATGATTACAATTCAGGAGCTAGAACTGAATACAACAGTACAAGAAAATAGAGACAAAAATAGTTCAACATAGTGAAACCAAATTACTCAGAGTTTACAGGAAAAATCAGGTAAATGTGGACAGATAAGAGATGGTTCAGGCCTCTGTGTTTTAGACATTAGTGCCTGTGCCCCCTTGTACATAGAGGAATGAATGTCTGACCCTATCTTTCCTAAATGGAAGCCTTTCTTTAATGATCATATGTGACATTGGTACGGCCTGAGGGGGCGGGGGGGGGGTGATTTTCCACTTACCCATAGCTTCCATGCACCCTTCCTTTCCGGGAACATCAAAAAAAAAAAAGTGGAATCTAAATAAAAGCAATATACTTGCTATGAAAAATTACAATTTCAAAACAAGTCTTCTTACTCTACTTTCAATCAGGCTGTTGACCGTAAGCTGTCTTATATAGAAATTCTGGAGCTGCCACTGATAATTATTGACCTTCTTAATGTGCCAAAATCATGCTAAATATTTTACATGAATTATCACAACTAATCCCTAATAAAATTTTATGAGTTTCCAATAGCCATGGATCCATCATCATCCTTCTATCTTTTGGAGACGTTCCAGAAAATTGTAAATTTTAACTGCAAAATTATCCATTTTCAAAATGTGAATCAGTCAAATTGAAGATTAAAAACAATGAAGTGGCATTTTGGGACCAATATTTTTTGTGTGTGAGATTGAGAGGAAGGCAACTCCATCTTTTGCTCTGATGTTTTCAGCCTATATTTATTCCCTGAAAAGAAGACGGAACAATTCTGCCTACAATCATTTTGGACAGAATGTATTCAAAATGCTGACTTAATACATTCACATTATAATAAATAAAGGAAATACGGCATCACTATTAAGACCTATCATCAGTCCAGTAACAAATGAGTTATGATTAAACAAAGTACTTCTTCATATGACCATTTATATAATAGATAGAAGAGATCATTCACTGAAAAGCCAATTTACAACAAAACCTTGTTGTAGTGGGAGAATATGCTTTTCAAAATGAAGTATATAGTAGTTGTAAAAATTTTCTGATACTATTCTCTATTATTAAAATTATATGATCTATTTCATCAGTGCTTAATGAGCCCTGAATGTCCAATATCTTGGGTCTCTATGTGGCTAAATTAAGGTGAAAGATTGAAAACTTTCTAGAGTGTCTTTATCAACAAGTATATTGACTTGGCTTAAACAAGTATATTGACTTGGCTTAAACTTTGACTGTTACAAGGAAAAGTTACTGCTCTTTACACAATGATATGTCTGTTTTCTTTTCTATACAAATAGAGAAGAACACTGTTCTCTGTAGATTACTTGATTTACTAGGTTTAGAAGAATCACAGATATAGATTTCCTTAAACAAGCTTCAGTTTCGAATATTATAATAATTATGCCTCTGGGAAGATTTATAAACAATTGAAAAATAAGGAGATGGATGTACAAGAGGGAGTAAAGCAAAGATGGTGGAGCTAAGGTGTGCTTTTACTCAATGAATCACAAAGAGAGTAAGCCAATAGTCCTTTCGAAAGTAGCAGTATATACACCGCTAAATGGAGGATGGTCTGAAGGGACAGCAAAGAGTGGAAACGCTCATCCAGAGCAGATTTAACGAGCTACCCCTCCTTATCTGGCCACGCGCAGCTCTTGAGAGCTGGGAAGCAGCCTTCCATGTATCCTGGAATGGGAAAATAATTGCCTTATCCATGAAGTTCATCAGAGAATTTTTCTCTGCAGCTTGAGAAATTGGGCTAATTACTAGAAAACATGACATCCTCAGTATTTAGAATTTGAATATTACCTGTTTTATTTTTCCACGACTTTCTGATAAGTACTTACCTTTCTTCTGCTTTCCAGGAAGCAAATGAGTCGACATTTATGCACCAGCTACATGAGGACCTTTCTTAATATCGACCTACAAAATGAAGATTTAATATGCTTTATGTTTGCAAAACACACCTTATCTTACAGTTGAAGAACTGGCGGCACTTTTGTTCTCTGCACTGAGCAGCAGCAGCACGTTTCTAAAGGATTATTAAGATGTCATTAAAATCCACACTTTGAACAAAAAGCAGTAACTTTTAAAATTCAACATGTTCACAATGGAATGGATTTCAGTTTCTACAGATGTGGCTTCAGCATTATCCAGTTATTTTTATTTGGTACTGATTCGCTGATTGGTTCCCTTTTGCTAAATTCAGAAAAGGGGTGGATGTTCTAAACAAATCCTGGACCCTGAACTCTTGTCGTCCTCATCAAAGGGAAAAACATCACTACCCTCATCAGTGTCCCTGCAATACACAGACCCCAGGACTGTCAGGACATTGCATTTCATGAGCATGAGCCATTTTGAAAGACGTTTAAAAATGGAAACTAAATGACTGGCCTATGAACCATTTATTATACATTACTTAAGTTTCTTTCTCTATGGAATCCTTTGTACAGCATCAGTAGGCACTATAACCATGCTGTTTATAACAATATGGGCGTATATTTTTGTCAATGATCATACAAATGGACATTTTTGGGACTGTCATTTTTCCATGTTCTGCAGTTCTTTTGGAAATCTGAGTAGACTTTGATCTTTTCACTCAGTTGTATACAACTTATGCTTGGCAACTTCAGAATGCTGTGCTAGTATTAAGAGATGTAAATGATAATACAGAAATTATTGTGTGGGAGATTACAAAGAGTAGAACGTCCATTCATAGTTATTTGTTGTGGTACTTCTTGCTTTTATAGTCACCACAGAAAGACTGGTTTCAAACATTAAAAGATGTTCTTCCTTAAATTCCTGTGCTTTGCCTGGTTCCTGTTGTGTCACAAAATATTTACTCTAGTTTTCTGACTTATGCATTCTATCTGAATTTTTAATTCTTTATGCATCTACATTTCCTTCTGAAACATTTCTAAATTCAACCTTGACTACTTTTTCCTTAGGTAATTTTTTGAGCTAGTTGGGGGAAAAGGAAATAAAAAGATACTTGGGCATGCTTTAGAGTTGTAGTACTTAAAGTCTAGACTATGAAGGATCTTTCCTTTTTATTAGAAGATATATTGTTACGTAACCACTTTCGTCAGCAGGGGTTCACTTATGGCAGAGAGCACTAGGCCCCCTAAAAAGGCTCCCCATAGAAAGGAAAGGTGGACCACATTCTGTTTGTGTTTTATACACAGAGGTTTCTAGGATAAATTATTAGTAACTGGTTTGTTGAGATACTAAAATCAAGAGTAATTAATCTCCTTATGTTAGCTGCCAGGGTAAATACTGAAAACCCCAAACCAAGATACCACCAGTTCAGAAGGATCTTTTGAAAATCTGAAGCTACTCAAAACATACTGATGTAATAATGTCCTCTCATTTATTGGCAACAGAAAAAAGTATCCCCCTAAGATATAGACAGATGAGATCCTAAACATCCTCTTCTGATACTTGAGTCTACTTTTGCCGTATTAGGATATTTGTGGACATGTTGATCAAGGAGGAATATAAAGGATACTTCTTTAAATCTTAAACTAAGTAGGGCTGAACGATGTAAAGTAGAAACTGTTCAAAAGAATTGGTTGAGAAATTACATATCCACCTCATGGTAGAATTGCATAACCAATCAGTGACTCAGATTTTAACTCTTCATACAGGAATGCACCTCCATAGTATTTGGGTATCAGTAAAAAGGTTTTGACTTATATGTCTTTAGTACCGTTCAACTAAATACATGTATATTCTAATCATTATCATTCCTCACCGTATTTTCCCTGAATTCTATAAATTATGCAGAGGAAAAAATCCATACACAGAGATAAGTGAAACACATTAAAAATGCCCAGTAGAAAGTATAATACTTGCTTTAAAAAAATGGGAGATAGATTTATTTATGTGAAAAATGGGTTTGGATATGTGTGTGCGTGCCCACGTGCACATGCTGAGGTGGGAGTGGAGCACTTTTTGGGAATGCATTAAACGTTGACCTGCTGATTGCCCCAGAGAAAGTGTAATTGTACACAAGGATGAATTTGCTTTGTTTTGTAGAAAAACTACCCCATATTTTAGAGAGGCATATTTTCATTCAAAATTGTTTAATCACCACAAAACTATTGGTGTTCAAAACTTAGGTTTGAAAATGTATAGCATCTACAAACGGGTTAACATAAATTAGAGAGTCTACAGCATCTTAAAATGGGTTGAGGCTTATTGTTGCTGACAAGTACATGAAGAAAGAGAACAATCTATAAAGCTTTTAGTTCTCAGAAAGAGGTAAAGGGGGTATCATTTCAGGAAAAAAAAAAACCTAGCTATACATTAGATTTTTACATATGCAATAATCTGTCAATCTTAACCCATTATCAATGTCTGAGCTACATAATAATCATCTTCGGAGCTGGAATTTGTTGCAGGTGTGTTCCACCTCTTACTTTAGTGTTTCTGGTTGAAGTTCTATGTATTAGAGACACGGTGGCTGCTCTCTCTTCATCTGCCCTTTCTGGCCCATCTACAACTCCACTTAAAGAATCACTGGACTTCAGACTATACTACAAAGCTACAGTAATCAAGACAATATGGTACTGGCACAAAAACAGAAATATAGATCAATGAAACAGGACAGAAAGCCCAGAGATAAACCCGTGTACATATGGTCACCTTATTTTTGATAAAGAAGGCAAGAATACACAATGGAGAAAAGACAGCCTCTTCAATAAGTGGTGCTGGGAAAACTGGACAGCTACATGTAAAAGAATGAAATTAGAACACTCCCTAACACCACACACAAAAATAAACTCAAAATGGATTAAAAACCTAAATATAAGGCCAGACACTATAAAGCACTTAGAGGAAAACATAGGCAGAACACTCTATGACATAAATCACAGCAAGATCCTTTTTCACCCACCTCCTAGAGAAATGGAAATAAAAACAAAAATAAACAAATGGGACCTAATGAAACTTCAAAGCTTTTGCACAGCAAAGGAAACCATAATCAAGACCAAAAGACAACCCTCAGAATGGGAGAAAATATTTGCAAATGAAGCAACTGACAAAGGACTAATCTCCAAAATGTACAAACAGCTCATGCAGCTCAATATCAAATAAACGAACAACCCAATCCCAAAATGGGCAGAAGACCTAAACAGACATTTCTCCAAAGAAGATATACAGATTGCCAACAAACACATGAAAGGATGCTCAGCATCACTAATCATTAGAGAAATGCAAATCAAAACTACAATGAGGTATCACCTCACACCAGTCAGAATGGCCATTATCAAAAAAATCTAGAACCAACAAATGCTGGAGAGGGTGTGGAGAAAAAGGAACACTCTTGCACTGTTGGTGGGAATGTAAATTGATACAGCCACTATGGAGAACAGTATGGAGGTTCCTTAAAAAACTACAAATAGAACTACCATATGACCCAGCAATCCCACTACTGAGCATATACCCTGAGAAAACCATAATTCAAAAAGAGTCATGTACCATTATGTTCATTGCAGCACTATTTACAACAGCCAGGACATGGAAGTAACCTAAGTGTCCATCAACAGATGAATGGATAAAGAAGATGTGACACATATATACAATGGAATATTACTCAGCCATAAAAAGAAACGAAATTGAGTTATTTGTGGTGAGGTGGATGGACCTAGAGTCTGTCATACAGAGTGAAGGAAGTCAGAAAGAGAAAAACAAATACCGTATGCTAACACATATATATGGAATCTTAAAAAAAAAAAAGGTCAGAAATAAAGACACAGACGTAGAGAATTGTCTTGAGGACATGGGAAGGGGGAAGGGTAAGCTGGGACGAAGCAAGAGAGTGGCATGGACATATATACACTACCAAATGTAAAATAGATAGCTAGTGGGAAGCAGCCGCATAGCACAGGGAGATCAGCTCAGTGCTTTGTGACCACCTAGAGGAGTGGGATAGGGAGGGTGGGAGGGAGAAGCAAGAGTGAGGGGATATGGGGATATATGTATACGTATAGCTGATTCACTTTGTTATAAAGCAAAAACTAACACACCACTGTAAAGTAATTATAATCCAATAAAGATGTTAAAAAAAAAAAAGAATCACTGTCCATTACCCTTTTCTGCATACACTGACAGAATTACCTATGATTGTTTTTCTGAGTTATTTGTAGCAGGCTGAGCTAATGAACTAAAAGTGAGTTAGTGTTTAATATTGGTATCAAATACATACAGGCAAACTCTACTTTTTTCTTCCCTGGTTCAAAGGTAGCTGCATTTTCAAACACTGGTGAAAATAAAAACTTCCTTTATTAGAATAATGATTTGCTTTTCATTTATAATTTTTGAATGCGTTTGACATCAATGTTGTTTGATATTAATACTATAATTGTATATTAGCTGTTTCTGCCTGTGCATGAGTTATTGACATATTAACTCCTATTTTCTTTTCCCAGCTGTTCTCAGATGCTAGTAAGCTTATACTCACACATTTCAGAAATGCTCCATTCTACACACTCATGAAGGGGAACTCTGATGTAGTTAGGACAAATATAAATGTTTTAAAGTCTTGTTTCCTTTATTATGTGAAATCTGAATCAGGTGCCTCAGCATCACCTGTGAACTTGTTAAAAATGCAGAATCTCAGGTTCTATCCTAGTACTACTGAATCAGAATCTGTAGTTTAATAGGATACCAAAGCGATTTCTATACACAAGAAAATTCGAGAAGTCCAGATTTAAGTTATATTGAAATCAGACTACCTGTGTAAAAAAGTTTTATTTGACTGGTTGCTGGTATTAGATTTATTAACAGAACAACTTAAGAGAGCAAAGCTATATAAGCATACTGAGATGAGAGGAACGTCATCTCGCTTGACAATTTGCTATAAATGTTCCACTAAGTTTTCTCATTTGCCCTGTTGAGCTTGTACATGCTATTTTCAGATGGTAATAGAGCTAATCTATTTGCCAGGGTAGAGGGTGAAGTGAAAGTAACTCTTCTCTCTGAATTTTCTGGAATGTGTTCTTTGATCACATATTTACTGCATGTGAAGTAGGAGATAGCTCAGGGCAGGTAAGGAATATTAAGACTGGAGATATTCCCCAGAATTTATCTGAGATGGAAATTATCCACTTGAATAAAGGGACTCTACAGCATCCAGGAGTTTTACATATTATATAAGTTATAAGGAATATATTAACAGCTATGGAGCTTTACTCTGGGCAAAATAATGGGCGGATTGCTTGCTTGGATGATGTCTAGAAAGGGGTAAGGAGCAGGGGCAAGGGGGGACAATACAAAGATGAGGGTTTATTTCCAGAGAATGAGTATCTATGAAGTTATAGAAGAATAAATAAGCCCAGTGTGGAGGAGAGAACTGAGCTTGGAACTATCTAGGCTCAAAGAACCAAGTTGACAGCTACTGTTCTGCTCTAATCCTACCCTCAGTCTACACAGTTGAGGAATATGGTCATTATGAAAAGATGGGCCTACATGAAAGAATACGTAATTAGTAGCAGGTAGTTTTATAAACTCCACGTCCTAAGTACTAAAGAAGAGAATTTAGTTATTGGAGACGTCCAAGGAACCATCCTAAAATGGAAATATGGTTCGTGAGAAAGTGTTAAATATCTTCAGCTTTTGATATAGACTGGGGAACAGAATTCTAAAAATTTTCTCTTTTCTGGAACTTGTTTGAAATATCATCACATGTTAATGTTATGTATTTCCCCATAGATATATGAATAATCATTTAAAATTAAAGGTCCTATAAGATTGTGAGAATTATCTGTATTGATAGTCAGCCACTTCCTTTTGCCCAT